GGGACTCGTCAGCAGTGCGTACGTTTTGTGTCCCTGTTAGGACTCGAATCGCGATTTTTCGGGCTGAGACTTCAAACCCTTACCCTTGGGCTACACGGTCGACGGTTATCACCTTGTGCGAATGGCTCAATCAATTTAGATGGTGAATGTTTGGATTAGCCAAGGGTAAGGGTTTGAAGTCCTAGTCCGAAGAATCGCGGTTCGAGTCTTGACAGGGACACACAAAGTACGCACTGCTGACGAGTCCCAAACATGACGAAACAGCTGTCCAGTGCTCTTTGTTGGTTATCACAACCATTTCCATCGCACAAAAAGTACAGTTAATGGTTGTCAAAACTGAAACTGTACGTCCCCGTTCGGTTGGGAAATACTAGAACCTCAGGAAATAAAAATACTTACCAGCTCCGAAAATTGTGCTGAAACTCAAACTGACAAACCCAGGGGCCTGTGACCTCAAACGATCCAGGTATTCCCCAGCACTGCTCTCAGTGAGCTTTTCCGGCGGATCCAATGGAGGATTCCCGGCCGGTTCACATGTGCGACCATCTAGAGGTGTCTCTGGGGGGCTCTCCGATTCCGGTTCAACGAGCCCATTGGTCTCTGAAACTTGCTCCAACCACGCGAAGAAATCGCACAAAACCAAGGAATCCTCCAAATGAGCTTGCCGAATCCCATTTAGCTCTGATGGCAGCTTAACCGCTTTCAAATCACTGATTGGAGAGTTGCGAAACAAACGCTTGGTTTCAGGAACACGCATCACAATGGCATCACTGGATTGATAATCAAGCCAAACTCGAGACGATCGGTCTGATAGTTCCCGAACAGACTGGTCCAAATGACTAAAAAACTCCTGATAGGGATGAATGTTGACCTAGGATAAATAGATAGAAAAATGAAACAGTCAAACATATGACGGCAGTTTTGTGGGTGGCGACCCCCGTTAGGGTTGTCCGGAGGTGAATAAACTGACGGGCGCTGCAAGTGAACGGTCCCTGGCGGTCAAGAAAATGTAAAGTTTTGACTGATAACACAGCTTACCTAAGTCAACTGTTATCGGTACCTTATCCCGTTGTTGACCATGGACTAACATGGAGGGTCAATAATGAACTCACTAGACGGTGCATAATCCTGTGTAGGTTGTCCAGTCTAACTCTGGGAAGCAATTAAAACTTGCAGTTGTGAGATAATGCAACAATCTAGTTAGAATAAGTACTAGCATATGATAAAAACCACCACTCTTTCCCAAGGCACAACGTTAACCAGTTCAGTTCAGTTTGTACAACCATTAGACATGCACTTTCGTGAGCTGGTTCTGTTTGAGTCTATAAGCTGATCATTTAGATAAAGCAGTACGAGAAAGATAGATGAGTTGAAAGTCGAATCCAAGAGAAACTGACGAATTTCGATGGACTAAAGTTGTGAAGANTGAAGAAATTGGGAAGATGCACAAGAGCTACTGTTTACGGTACTAAGCTTTATCACTGAGTGTCTCTGACCATTGGTTACAATGATCCTATGGTCCCCATTCAGAGAGCCCAACGCGACTTATATCACCAAGTCTCTTGGTTAAGGTTTTCATATTCCCGTGCCAGGTCTTCGTCTGACAACAGTTACCTTTTTTCCACCCAATAACTGGCTCGCCAAAACACGGTGCATCGTGGCGACCTATTTGGTGGCACGAGTAACATAAGTCCTAACCCACGTAATCTATGGAGGTCGACCACTTGCTCCAGTGGGCGACCGCGGTTGACTAAAACTCTGCGCCTAACCTCAGCTCACCCGGTTGCCCCACCAGACTCACGCAATACATCGTAGACAGCGGTGTTTAAACACCGTCAATCACTCTCTATCTTGTATAGCAAAACTGACCGAATCGCATCAACATACACTCGACCCTTCACAGACAGCCGGATGTCGCGGCGACGCCACTGATGTCTCAAATTGGCAAATGCAAACTGAGCCTTCTGTATGCGAGCTGACACTTCATTCATGATGCGTCCACTTGGTGAAATGTATATGCCAAAATAAAAAATCTTATTTACTTGCTTTATTATTTCCACAGTTACAGTGAGATTGGGTGCTGAACCAATCCAGTCTCTTAGCAAAATTTTACCGTTTTGAAGGTGTAAAAGACAACGAAAATGGCTACGCTGGCATTCAAACTAACCAGAAAAGCTTGCAACCTACCTGGATCTTCACTTAGCAATACAATGTCGTCTGCACATCCCAGATCAGACAGTCGGCCATCTAGGAACAAATCGATGCCACTATCCTCGCACGACGATAGGGCTGTTTCCATAATAAGACCTATACCTAATTTAAATAGAAAAGGAGAGAGGGCAACCATGACGAACACCACCGTCCATGGTGAACCTGGGCGAAAGAGTGCCGGACTCGGTTTAGGCTATTATTGTAAAGTGATCGAAGTGTTGAAATAAACTTCTCGGGCACAATCTTCTGAGAAAGGCAGTGCCAGAGGTTAACTAGTGGGTTTGATATATCAAGTGTACGAAAAGTACGAATGAAGCGAAGACGACAACCGCAACAATACGGGTTTAAGATAAAGATAAAAAACGGGTGACTGTACTCAAACCAGGTTTGTGATATTATTATTAGTCTTGTATACATAAGGGAACAGTATATAATATGCAACCACTATAACATATATATATATACCAGATCTGTCGCACAACACTTCATCTTACACAGCGATTGGCGGTGTTGCTGACAGTGTACACTAACGAAGTACACGTGATTTGAGATGAAACACGGTTGACGGTCCTCACCTTAAATTCTGAATCGGACAAATGTTGTTCCAGGCCTTCAGAATCGGACAACGTTTTCGGATTCATAAACAAATGCATCTCCGATAGGGAAAGAAGAGCATAGGCAAAAAATATCGGCGAATATTGAATATCGCTCCCACGCAAATTCAACAACCACGCTATCTCATCCAGTGCAGATATGGTCAGGAGAGAGGAGCCATTCTGTCGCATCATTTCGATAACGCGATGCACCTTCTGTTGCCACGTTTGTCCAGCAAACGATAGGGGAACAATGCATACCGGGTTTGCTGTACGTGGTGGTCGCACAGCGCGTTCCTCGCCGCTGTCACGCATCGCTTCCCAAACCAGATCGACCAGATTGGGACCGTCCACTGGGATTAGTTGTCTTGCGTGTGATTGATCATTCTCGCAGGAGGCTACGATATCACTGAGGGCAGCCTCTGCATTGGACAACTCGCTCCTATAAGCTTGCATTGTAGTGAATGGAATCTGCTTTGGATCATATCCAATAACACTGCCAGGTTGGGTCACTTCACTTAACCATTTGGCTTCTGTGGGTACGCCTTCTAAGCCTTTCTTCATCAGAGTCCAATTTTCATCCAGTTGCTGAGATGCCTATAGATATGAATGAGAGAAATCCAGAGATAAAATAATCGTAAAATTTAGCGGAAAACGCGGTTCGTATTCAGTTAGGAAAGAGTTAAAGAGAATCTATTCGGAAACAACAGGAAACAGAAGTCATCTGTTTGAAATCAATACCCATCACGCGTAGTTCATCAAAGTGAATTAAAACGGCAGACCGCTTTTTTTCTTAAAAGCATAAAGGCGTCTAGGAAAAAATGATTTGACAGAAAGATGCACTGTAACAGATGCTCCTTCGCCACTATTGTGTAAATTAATATGTGCACCTTAATCTAAAATCGAACGAGGATGCAAAGGAGATCGACTGTTCACCAAAATCACCCATAAACCTGCTCCCCTAATTGAACGATGGTCCTGCTGCTCCACGCCGTAAGACAAGAACAACAAACTAATGTTTTCACTTCCTTTTTGGTTTACTGGTTATCAAAATGCATAAAAAACTCTCAGGAAGAGTTCGCGGCCATATGAAGGATGCCTGAGGAAATACAAATGATGGGAAGACGGGTGGCGGTGGTGGGGTTCGAACACAGGACCCCTGGGTAGTTATTTCGACAACTTTATCACTCGACCAGCACCGCCCCATTTTCCTCCCGTGATACATCGGAACACTGAACGAGCAGAAACATTGAAGTTTTTTACGGTAGTTAGACAGATGTACTTTGTAGTTCAACAGCTCACATGTTCGTTTCTTTTTGAGTTGACGTGCTGTTCGCAAGTGTAGGTTGTCCGGAGTGCAACATGAATGTAGACATCAGGCAAGATACGACACAAGATTGTTGAGTACTCTAGTCTTTCAAGGCGATGCATTGATCGGTTCAACAGTATTAGTGAGGGTCAACGACATCCAGGGAGCAACAGACACCGCCTTATAAAGGCTCTTCCTTTGTCACATGAATCACCCGATTCGGGTGCAGAAATAATAGGATTCCGAGCTAATTTAGAGAAATACAGTTCACTTTGGTCTGACAGTAGTGAATCTAGTGAGTTTCTCTACCAGATAAACCCAGCGATACTCAAGACCATCAAAAACAGCGACCGCACGGTCCTGAGCTCGAACCCCGTCACGATTCTCCTATTCCCCAGTTCTGCATTTCTCCAGGTAGTCTACGTTTGGCCGGAGCAAATCATTTGAACCCCATTACATTGCACAATTCAGCCAAGATGATTGCTGCGGATGGTTTCAAGTCGATCGACAATCACTTAACTGGATTTCTCTCACCTGCGATGACATGCTTTCAATGGAAAATCGCTATAGTAGGGTCATAATAATAAACTCACTTGAGTTTCCTATGCAACAGTGAGCGATGTTATCATTAACCTGATTAACCTGAATGGTTCGCTTACCGGGGGAATGCAGTGAAACATGTGCGATTAGTTTTGGATACCGATGATGACATTTGCATATAAGACGGGAAGTAAGGTGCCTGGAACATATTTCTATTATGACCACTTCGATAAACACAGACTTAAAAATACGGAGTATTGGAACACTTTTCTAACTGAAGTCTTATACTGATACTAATTATATATATATATATATACTTCCCAAAGATTACTAGATACGCGTGTCCGACGAGAGGCAAGAACCCCGAAACCGGTCGTGTAGCTCATGGCAATTTTATCGAGTCATTCGTGTACTATTTATTATAAAATATATATCTGAGACTGCTCCAGCCGTCACTGTTCTCTTGGTTCCTTCACACCATTCTCATTCCCCGAACTGTTAGCCAGAAACCGAAGTGCTGATT